GTGCATCTGTGTAGTGCTTTCGAATAGCTCGTGACGAAATGGCACTGCGGCAATATATGCACAGTGACTCGCTAGTTCGGCCATCAAAGATTGGTTCAAAAGAAGGCCTGGAATGGACTTGTAGCGCAAGTGCGTACGAAGATCTGGTCGATCACAAATCGGCACATTCCTGTCCTTAGCAGAGTTGAATTGCATGCAGGCACGTCGATTTATATGATCACGAAGACGATACATGTCAGTGAACGAACGCGCACAATGTGAACAAGTAGGATAGCCATTAGTTGTATCACGAAGTGCAACGAAGACATCTTCAATGTGACATGGAATGGAATGATATTCACGCGTGCGGCGTTTCAATGGACCTGCCTGTGCAAAGGATCGATGGCATTCAGGGCACTTAAGATCATCCACCTGGGCACATGGATCGGCAGTGGCGCCGCGTATGATGATGTGACATGGCGGATAGTCTGGGGTCAAAACAGTGACATCATCTGCAGCATGGGACATGGCAGGATCCGAGAGGGTCACACGTCGTTGGCTCAAATGTTCCTTAAGTCGTTCAAATTGCTTATGAAGCATGATCCAAGGAGGATCGATCTGCAGTCTGCGAAAGAAGTCGCTGGTGTTTTCTCTGGTGATATGCACAGGTGAACGAGTCATGATACGATGGTGGTTGTTGATGAGGCTGATAATGCGTTGACTACCTACCTTGGTGTGTCCCATTTCAAAAATGCCATAGAACAAAGAAGCAATGATGCATTGACGATACAATCTCAGTCTCAAACTAAGAGGACGGTGTCTGTTAGTGAGCCAACTACGGAGGGTGTGAAAACACGTCTGTGCAGCTTGAATCCTGCGTGCAACAGTGTCATTCTCCCAACAACCCCTAGATAGGAAGTCTTGCCCACCATTGGAAATGTGGTATTCAAATCAGGAAGATGCAAAATAGGACCAGTGAGTGGGCGGCTGCACCACTTCTTGAGAAACTAAGACATCTGCTTCCCAGTCAGCTGCATCATAGCTGCACTTTTCTCCGGGTTGACTCGAAATCCAGCAGTTTGCAGACTGAAGATTAAATGACTCAAATCATGAAGGGCAGCAAGACCATCTTGAACTGAAGTGAAGATCCATCGAAAATGCAGGTCATCGGCAAAAATCACAACGTGGTCCCGAATCCATTCCAAGTTATGATTTGCTAAGAGTTCATGGCAAAAAAGGTAAATGCACACAGTCCACATCAAGGGAGCATCCTTGGCTCCCTGTATGATGCCTCGACTTGCTCGAATCCGGCCAAGCAGTTCCTTGTGAAGCAAACAGTATTCATGTGGCAGTAGCCATGAAGTGATGAGGTGTCTGAGGTCAGGGTTCATGTCAAACACTTCCAAAGCTCTGAGAACATGATTACGACTTACGGCATCAAAAGCTTTTTCTAGGTCCAGTGAAACCTGAAGTCCACCCCACAAACCTTTCGGTGTAGCATCCTTGTGATCACGGACCTGTCGACAGTGATCAGAAATGATCAGAAGGCAATCCTTGGTGCTGCGACTGGGCAGGTATGCATACAGTGGCATGCGACAAATCTGTGGGAGGACAATCTGTCGTAGCAGTTGACAGTGGAGTCCGGTCAATATCTTATTCATCGGGTGCTGAAGGCAGATTGGACGGAAGGCTTCAGGTCGATTGGGCGGTTTAAGAGGTTTTGGGGAGGAGGTGAATCCATCCTGTGTCCAGTGGTCCGGTGGTTGACTGCAGTCATGGCACCAAAAAGTTTCAAGATCCGCCCAAAGGAAGGGCGCAAGGTCAGCAGCAAAATGCCGCCATATCAAAGCCGGGAGACCATCAGGTGCAAGAGCTTTGGTCATTGGCAATCTTTGCAGCTGAGTTCGAATTTGGTCCTCAGTGAACGGAACATGTGTCAGAGCCGGGGGGGTTGTCCGGTTGGAAGTTTGGACCGCAATATAGTTTACCAAAGAAAGCAGTGATCTGATCAAGTTCCTGTTGTGGTGTTAGTGGAGCCCCAAAACGGTCAAAAAGCTGAATCCGTTGTCGTTTATGTCTGGGACAAAGCTGGCGAATACGTCTGTTGCAGTCCAGGATCTCATGACGCAATGCAAGGTCAGCACTGTCTTTCATGAAATCATCAAGGCGTTGGCGTTTATTCTGTCGGCTGAGAAAGCGAATTCGACGGTGCAAAACCGAGAAGGTGCACACATGGCGCCAAGCATTGAAACATGGCATGAAGTGTGCGGGGTGTAGCCTTCGAGAACGATCTTCTGGCATTCCACGTCATCGAGACCAAAGCACTGCTATGCGGGCGGTCATTGGAGGACGGACGGGGAAAATGTCTGATACACAACTGTCGAATGGCAGTCTCAAGTGACAAGCTTTGGGATTCCAAGGCAGTATTTGGATCAGGGGTCCTGAGGGTCTGCATTCGAATGAGGGCTTGAACTGCATTCTCGAATGCTTGCCATCTGGTGGTCTGGCCCAGGAATTCTTGGCGTAACCTGAAGCGGTCAATGGGCGAATGTGCAACGGGTGGTTGCTTGATGTGAAGCCATCTGGGTAGTGATGCAGTCAAAGGTCGATGGATAGGACCTAGAACACCTAAAGTGCGTTCAAAGTGACAATGAACATGAGCCTTCAACTTCTGCCAACGTATTTGGTGCTCTCTCATGAACATGAAATCAATGCGTGTAGCACGAGATCCATGGATAAACGTGTGTCTATAACATTGTTTACAATGTATGGCCACAAGTCGAAGGTCAGTGATCAGACCCTGAAAAGCGTTTTTGTCTCTCTGCAAGGCACGACTGAACTTTGCATCGGAGGCGCAAACAAAAGGAGCAGCTTGGTCCAATGGCGTGTTGAAGTCTCCGGCCACCAGAAGCATGTGTCGTCTGGGTATGTGGCGCACGGACTCACCAAGACGTGTCCACAGTTCTGCACGGGCGCGAGTCAGGTCTGTCTGGTCGCGTGTGGTGTTCCATGCAAATTGGTAGACACTGAAAATGTCATGAATGCAATGAAACATGAGACGCAAGTGGACCAGTCGTCCAGGGATGATAGGATTGTATGCGATTTTATCGGAGGAGATGACTGCTCGTCTGATCATTAGTAACTGTGAGGCACGTTGATGGGCAGTATGGATACATGTCCAGTTGTGAGTTTGCTACTGGTTCGAAAAGGTCCAGCCTGTCTCCTGGATGAGGAGGATGTCATATCCACTTTGGTCACTCCATAGGATCCATTCATCATAAACCAGGCCATTGCCTGCATTCCATGAGAAGACTCTGAGGTCATTGGCGGTGGAAATGGTCCGAAGAGGATTAGAAACAGGCTTGGGTGGATCATCACTTGGAGCAAAAACACGAAAGCGCATGGGAACTTCATGAGCCCATAGAGTTCTGCCTCTATACTGGGTATGACCATCTCGAACGGCTCGACGGCAGGCACGTTTCCAGGTGCGTTTCACCTGTTTACATCTGGATGGGGGGCAATCTGTGGCCTAAGCCAGCCATTGCCCATACCTCACATGGTTTCGTGCGACTTGCATGAACATCCAAAGTGCTATCAGGAGCACTCCCCCCGGCCTGTGAGCAACCGGGAACCCTCGTGCCAATCTCCATGTTAAGGTCAGTCAAGACACACGAACGGAAGGAGACCCTCGGATTTGGGACCGAGGTTTCCAGCGAGGTGTAAAACACCAAAAGAGCAGCTATGGTCAACAGATATGGCGGCATGCGGTAAAGCAAGGAAAAAACCATGGCTACCACTAAGCTGCGCCCTTTTCAGCTGGAATGGCACTTACTGCATGCATTGCACAACAATTAAACATATCTCAGACTGCATGCATTGCACAACAATAAAACATATCTCAGACTGCATGCATTGCACAACA